ATTTTGAAGTGATGGTTTGCATTTTCATCATAAAGATATTTTCTGAAATGGCATGAGTTTGCTATTACAATAAGGGGAGAAAATGATTCAATCATACAGCAGAAGTAAAGACAACAGTAAAGACAATAACAATTGTCTCGTTTCCTCACCTTGAGCAGGTTTTGTTGTAGGCAGCCTGGTGTCACACAGAGTGTAATCGAGCTCTTCAGCCAAGGTGTGATGAGTGAACTGTGAAACAGAGACTCTTTATAGTCCCGCTGCCTCTCCTGTCTCCTCCCACACACTGCTGTCCATGACATCATAGTCATTTAATACAACCAGGAACACCTTGAAAAACGACCCGTGCAGAGAAAAAGCTGAGTCATTCTTCTCATTACTAATTTCAAGCAACATAAAAGCTGATGCAATTACAATGAGGTGTTTAAACTAGAGACATTACAGAGACACTTTTCAGTAACAAATTCATTTATTTCCATAATGTTATTAAATACAAAGTAAGCTACTGTTACAGCCTGGCTCAAAACAGCCACAACAAATGGAGAGACACACCAAGTATCAAAGCTTGTTTTTATTCACTTATACCAGTATGGGGTTGTGAGAATCCATAGAGTCAGTGGTGTGTGTGTGATGTATGCATGAATTATGTCTGTGCAGGTGTACGTGCAAACATCTTAAAGAAAGAAACTAAACCATACCCAGACTGGTGTGTTACCTGCAGAGGGAAGCAGAGAGTGATTAGGCTGCAGTCAGCCCTTAAGTAACCCAGGAACACAGGGGTTGTGACAGGTTACAGCAAGCAGCCACTCATAGAACCAATAGAGAAACTAGAACGAACCACAATATGACCTCAGGGCTCATCACACAACTAATAAATAAAATAAATAAATACTACCATTATTAAATATAGGGATGCAGGGTGGAGCAGTTGGTAGCACTGTTGCCTCGCAGCAAGAAGGTCGCCGGTTTGCGTCCTGGTGGGGGCACCGGAATCTTTCTGCATGGATTTTGCATGTTCTCCCCATGCAGCATGGGTTCTCTCCGGGTTCTCCGGCTTCCTCCCACAAGGTCCAAAAATATGTTGAGGTTAATTGGTGTTTCTAAATTGTCCGTAGGTGTGAATGTGAGTGTGTCTCCTGCCTTCACCCTAAGTCAGCTGGGATAGGCTCCAGCCCCCCCACGACCCTTGTGAGGATTAAGCGGTGTATAGATAATGGATGGATGGATATCAAACATAAAATGGTACGAACAAAAAGAAAGAGCTTCACTGCCTTTTATATTTGTTGGGTATTGATGAATGTATTTGTAGGGTCAGAACTGTAGTTCTAAATTAATCATATTAATCTCCAGAATTAATAATACTGAAGAGTCCTAGTCTTAATAAATAATTGTATTTTCTATATAAATATTTTTAAATATCTAAATCACTCAGTTACACTCATGTTATTAATAAACCTGTATTGTCCTAACCTCAACATTCAAACATATTAACTTAATTTGTTACACCAAGTTAATTTGCTATTTTTCTACTGGAAAACACTTGGCCCAAGGAATGCTGTTTAAATGTGGTTAAAACATAATAATTAAAAAAAACAAACAAACACTGACTTGTCTTGACTAGTTATTTGCACTTTGAGCAGAACTATTCAAGAAATCTGTTATTTGTCATTTGCATGTAAATTCATTATATTTTCTTTTTGACTACAACCGAACCAGAACTTCCAGATAAGGAGTGACCTGAGTTTATCTTTTACACATCATACTTTCACGTCATTTCTTTGCATAGAGTGGAAGATAATCCTGCAGTTCCTGAATGAGTAACTACAGATTACAGAGACAATAAACACTTCTTAGGGCTCTGTGTTATTTCCCGGTGGGCTGCAGCTTCTTCCCTCTCAAGTTTCTCCTCTGTGCGTGATGACGTCAGACGCAGCGGTATTAAAAACCAGCCTCACGCTGTCAGCACAACAGTCGTCATGGCGCCTCCTCACTCACTGCATGTGTCCGTCGGCATCCTGGGCATCTCTGCAGGTAAGTTTTTATTCAATTTAATTTTTTTTAATTTAATTATTTTTTTTGCAGCGTTTTTTAGTGTGTTTTTTAGTTTTTGGTTGAATCGTTTTTTGTTGTTTTAAGTTTCGGTATGTCGTTGTTTCATTTTTATTTGCTTTGGTTGTTTTTGCCGATCATAGGCAATTAAACTTTTTATTTCATCATTACTCATCATGATGAGTTTATTAATATATGATATGCTAAACGTGACATTATACTGTAAAGTTTGAAATTTATCATAAACAAAAAAAACGAAGATTATCGATCAACCTCTAATTTTAGAAAACAACTCCTTCATATTAATAACTAAATGCATGGCGATATATAATAATAACAATAATAATAATAATAATAGTAGTAGTAGAGTGACACATCAGTTTTAGTTTTAAAATGGTCCGAACATTTTTGGGTCTATTATCCAACTCAGTCCAGTTTTTTTTTCTGTAATTGTTTTGTAATACTTTTGATCAATTAATACTGTTTTATCCTATTAGAAATTTAAGAATGTACATCTGCTATTTTTCATTTATAAATTTGGAATTTTAATATTTATTTTGTTGGAGCGGACCTATTATAGGATCTTTTGGGGGGGATCTTATGGCTTGTGCATGTATAGATCTACAAGTGGGATGTTTGCCATCTACTTTGTACTTCTTTTTTTGTAATGTTTGATTACAAATTTAATACAAGAACTACACAAGAAAAGAGTCTATTGCTAATATTAACTTTACAGGCTGTTTGTAATACCAAACACACTGCTACAAATATTTGAATTACATGAAGAATTAGCTACATGAAATCATGTAAGGTCATGGAAACAGGGCAATGTGTCGGTTAGTCTTACACCTTCTCTTTTTTTCAAATTTGGAAACCAACTTTATTATCTTTAAAAGAAAAAGAAGAAACTTGTAACTTGTTTTGATTAATAACCTGGTTTTGACTTGTAGGTTCTCTCCTGCTTTTGGTGAACAACTATGCCAGCTCACCCGACAAAGACTTCATCCCCCATACTGCACTGGGGATTCTGCTGCTCATCATTGCAGCTATTGTAGCTTATGCAGGT